CCACTCCTTTTTGGTTCAGATCTGGTTTAGTTTATGGTTCAGAATTGATCCTTGAAAATATGATTTTCTAAATGGGGAATACGATTCCTAGTTGAAGGGAGAGAAAAATTTTTGAAATTCGCCCCTTATTCCGCAATCTTTTGGGCGTCCATAGGATGGATCTCTCATCCCTTCAAGTCCCTCATAATTCACATAGTTGCCAATAGGGTACAATGGCCTACTTCTGCATTCTCTCACCCCTTTCTTGAGTGCAATGGGTAGGTTCTCATCGGAATTATCATGATCACTTAAACTAGTACCTGCAGAATTTTCCTCCACAGTTTGTAAGTCAGATGTAGGGATTTTTACCTCAGGTTCAGATGCTGGCAGTATCTGTGAATCTGCTAGAGTCTTTGATTCCTTCGGTTCTCCCCTTTTTCTGTGATAGACAATTTTCTCGGGAAATTCAGAATCAGTTGGTTTCGGTTCAAGTTCAATTTGGACACTTGGAGAAGGTGTTTCAGGTGTTTCTGGTGTGCAATCTATGCTATTCAAGAGAAACTGATATTCTTGTGGTTGACTTTGACTAGAACTCTTCCCCTGAATATTAGTTTTGGGGTAATAGGGTTTGGTTTCAAAAAATGTGACATCCATTGTGTGATAAAACTTTTGGTTGTTAGGACAAAAGCATTTGTAACCCTTTTGGTTGGGAGAGTACCCTATAAAGATACATTTGGTGGATCGAGAGTCAAGCTTGGTTCGATGTTGTTGATGGATATGCACAAACACAATACACCCAAATATTTTTAGCGGAAGAGAGGAAACCAGCCGACTTTGAGGAAAGTGTTGTAAAAATACTTGATTTGGAGTGGAAAAATCTCGTACTTTGGATGGAAGTCGATTGATTAGGTATGTTGCTATAAGTATAGTCTCACCCCAAAAACGTTTTGGAACATTGGATGAAAACAACAGAGATCTGGCAATGTCCAGAAGGTGTCTATTCTTTCTCTCGGCTATCTCATTTTGGTGAGGGGTATCTACATAGGAACTCTGGTGTATGATTCCCTCAGATGATAGATATGAGCCAAGATTAGAGTTAAAAAACTCTCTTCCATTGTCAGTTCTAAGTATTTGAATAGAAGTTTGAAATTGATTTTTAATCATTGTTTTGAAATTCTTAAATATTTGAGGAACTTCTGATTTATTTTTCACGAGAAAAATCCATGTGAGTCGTGTGTGATCATCTATGAAAGAGATGAACCACCGAGCTCCTGTGACATTTGGAACTTGAGATGGACCCCAAACATCATTGTGGATCATAGGAAAAGGTTTCAATGCTTTGTATGACTGGATTGGGTATGAAATGTGAGAGTGTTTTGCAAATTGACAAATCTCACACTGAAAAGAACTAGAACTTTTATTTCTGAATAAACTTGGGAAAAGTTTGGATAAGTACATAAAACTTGGGTGACCTAACTTGTAATGCCACACCATCACCGACCTCTCACTCTCACTTTTCAACTCATTAACAGACACACAAGAATTATTGTGACAAGAAATAGGTTCACTCACTCCTAGATGAGATTGTCTTACAGAATCTGGTTGAACCTCAAGATGATAAAGCCTAGCATGACTCCTAGCACTGCCAATCATCCTCCCTGAAGTCAAATCCTGAAATTCACAGACATAAGGAGAAAAATTAGCTATACAGTTAAGATCTTGGGTAATTTTATTTATGGAAAGTAGGTTGTAGTCTAGATTAGGAACATATAGAACAAATTTGAGTGTTATGACCCTGGATACCACAACCGAACCACTTCCTTCAACTTTTGCCAAAGAACCATATGCAATTCTAACTGTGAGAGTTTCATTAGAAGGAGAATATGTGTGGAAAACTCGCCTATCTCTTGTCATGTGATCGGAAGCACCAGAGTCTACAATCCAAGGTTTATAGTGCTCTTGTTTTACAKTYMAAGCCTTAAGAAAGTTACCTTTTTGAGCTATGGAACCTGACCCAACAACTGGTGGATTTTACTGTGATTGCAGCAGCCTTCTCAGTCCATCAAGTTCCTCTTTGCTAAAATTTGCAAGTTGCTCTGAACTGCCAGCGATGTTGCCTCGAATTTCCTTCTTTGCTGCTGTCTTTGGCTTCCAATCAACAGGTTTTCCATGGAGTTTCCAGTAGGTTTCTTTGGTATGACCAGGGCGGCGACAATGTTCACACCATGGCCTTCCCCCTTTGCGTGGCTGCTGCTGGTTTCGGGCAGCCAAGGCTGATGACTCACCACCAGCAGCTGATTTTTCCATCCCCAGCATCAAATGGTGTCTACTCTCTTCCCTTCGGACCTCAGAGAATGCTTCAYGTAAGCTTGGCAGTGGTTTTGTGCTAAATATCCTTCCTCTTACAGCATCAAGACTTGAATTTAGTCCCAAGC